ACAAAGTTGTTAAGTGAATCTGGCCTCCCCATTGACTTTGCTTGTCAGAAGGTGGTAAATGCTGATCACATGACATTACAGCGGTCATAAATACAAATAAGTTGCCCAGCATCTGAATTTTGATCACAGGACCATGTGGATGCTGCAGGGGTTGTAACTGTCATAAGACACTTTTTCCGGTGCCATTGTAACTTTGAATGGTCACTAAATGAACTGTTGTAAGTCGACTACCTGTAGTAAGTTGTCGCCTACTTTATCAAATGCCTTACTGAAGGCCAAGCAAATTATATCCACAGCATTCCTCTGGTCTACTAATTTTGTCACTTTGTCAAATAATGCAGCAAGATTTCTCTGGCATGATCTGTTTTTGACAAACTCATGTTGGCTTTTGGTTAATATCAGCCAGTATGTTCATATAAGAGTTAGTTAGCTTTTACTGCAAAGTATGAATTTATCCTTCCTTTGTAATGATTTTAGTCAAAACATCTGGGACAAATTTGGAAATGGTCTTGGTTTTTCTGGTTTTACTCGGAAAATGCTTGTGAGTTTCTCCAAAGTGTATAGTACTTGAAATAGATGTTTACTTTCAGTCCTTTTCTAGATCAGGTTACTGGTGCCTAGAGAGAGAATACTTTTTAAAACAATGGCCTTTTAAAGTAAGCACGCAAGGGATAGAGTTTTTGTGGAAAGTAATGCTTACAGTTCTCATTTTGTTGTAATAAACTAGTTTAGATATAGCAAGGGAAGTCAGAGAAGTTATGGAGAAATAAATAATATCCATGAGGATCAGTGTAAGCAGATCCTTGCAGATGGAAGCTTTAGTCAGACTTGGTTTTCTGCCATTCATATGGCAGCTATTGAAGGAGCAGTGTGGAAATCTCTTTCTCAGCTTTGGATTGCTGGCTACTGAACAGCCTAGCAGTAGTTGTGACTTGGATAGAAACATCTTGATCCATTTAGACCCATGTGCACAGTTTGTATTTTCCAATCATATCAAAGTGGGAAGATGTGGATAATTGTGCAAACTAAATATAGGAATTGAAGTACATCCTTGTAGCTTGTAATTATTAGTAATTGTAGAATGATAAAACTGAAAGTCTGGCTGAGAAAGGATAACTGACTACAATCATTTATCTTTTATCTATAATTCTAAATATACAAAAATGTAGGTATTCTTTAATTTGATACTAAATTAAAAAAAAAAACTTTCCAAGGCTGTGTAAAGGTATAGATAGAATGTAATCTACAAGCCATAGTTAAACATGAATTATTTTAATTGGGTATAGAACT